TCTTTTCCTATAGTTATTCCTTTAATTTCTTTCATCTGTCTAATTTCCCTGGCCAGTGTTTCAAGAACTATGTTGAATAGAAGTGTGAGAGAGGGCATGCCTGTCTTGTTCAGATTTTAGAGGGAATACCTTCAGTTTTTCTCCATTTAGAATGATGTTGGCCTGGGGCTTAGCATAGATAGCCTTTATGATGTTGATATGTTCCTGTTATCCCTATTTTTTCTAGTGTTTTGAACATGAAGGGGTGCTGTATTTTGTCAAATGCTTTTTCTGTATCTGTTGAGATGATCATGTGATTCTTATCTTTAAGTCTATTGATGTGATGAATTACACTTATTGATTTCTGTATGTTGAACCAACCTTGCATCTCTGGGATGAATCCCACTTGATCGTGGTGCACAATGGTTTTGATACGTTTTTGTATTTGATTTGCCAGAATTTTATTGAGGACTTTTGCATCTATGTTCATTACAGATATTGGCCTGAAGTTTCCTTCTTTGAGGTGTCTTTGTCTGGTTTTGGATTCAGGGTGATATGGACTCATAGAATGAGCTTGGAAGTACTCCCTCTTTTTCTATTTCCTGAATTAAATTGAAGAGTATTGGTATTAGTTCCTCTTTATAGGTCTTGTAAAATTCAGCTGTATATCCCTCTGGTCCTGGGCTTTTCTTGGTTATCAATCTTCTGATGGCTTCTTCTTTTTCCTCACTTGATATTGGTCTGTTGAAGTTGTGTATGTCTTCCTGACTCAATCTGGGCAGGCCATATGACTTTAGGAATTTATCAATGCCTTCACTGTCCTCTATTTTATTAGAGTACAAGGTTTCAAGATGATTTCTAATTATCCTCTGTATTTCTCTAGTGTCTGTGTGATATTGCCTTTTTCATTATGATGCTGGTAATTTGAGTTCTCTCCTTCTCTTCGTTTGCATGGCTATGGGTCTGTCAATTTTATTTATTTTTTCAAACAACCAACTTCTAGTTTTGTCAATTTTTCAATTGTTTCTTTTGTTTCATTTTCATTGATTTCGGCTCTGATTTTAATAATTTCTTGCCTTCTGCTTTTTCTGCTGATTTGCTCTTTGTTTTCTAGGGTTTTGAGATGTAGTGTGAGGTAATTTATTTGTTGGGTTTTTCTTAAGGAATGAACTCCATGCAATAATTTTTCCTCTTAGTACTACTCTCATAGTGTCCCCAGGATTTTGATATGTTGTGTCTGTGTTCTCACTTACCTCTAAGAATTTTTAAATCTTCTCCTTGATGTCTTCTACAATCCATTGTTCATTCAGTAGAATATTATTTAGTCTCCATCTTTTGGAGTAACTTCTATTCTTATCATTGATTTCTATTTTCATTCCATTATGATCTGATAGAATGCAGGGTAGTATCTCTACTCCTTTTTATTTGCTAAGAGATGCCCTATGGCAAAGTATATGGTCTATTTTAGAGAAGGATCCATGTGCTGCTGAGAAGAATGTGCATTCACTTGTTGAAGGATGAAATATTCTATATATGTTAAATCTAAGTTATTAATTGTCTTATTGAGTTCTATAATTTCTCTGTAAGCTTTTGTTTGGAAGATCTATCAAGAGATGTTTAAAGTCACCTAGAATTATTGTATTGTGATCTATTTGACTCTTGAAATGATGAAGAGTTTGTATGATGAACATAGATGGCTCCATTCTTTAGGGGATGATATTTATAATTGTTATCTCTTGTTGGTGTATGGCTCCCTTGAGGAGTATGAAATATTATTGTTTGTCCCTTCTGATTAATTTTCACTTGAAGTCCACATCACTTGATTTGGATGGAAACCTCTGCTTGCTTCCACAGTCTGAGTGGTATGTTTTTTAATATTCATTTTTTAGTTGTAGATGGACACAATACCTTTATTTATTTTTATGTGGTGCTGAGGATCAAACCCAGGGCCTGACACGTGCTAGGTGAGCGCTCTACCCCTGAGCCCCAGCCTGATTAATGTTTTTTTTTACTGTTTATTTTTTAGTTGGACACAATACTTTTATTATTTTTATGTGGTGCTGAGAATCGAACCCAGGGCCTTGCACATGCTTGGCTAGTGTACTCCCACTGAGCCACAACCCCAGCTCCCAAGTGATATGTTTTTTCCCAACCTGTCACCTTCACTCTGTGGATGTCTTTTCCTATGACATGAATCTCTGGAAGGCAGCATATTGTTGGGTCTTTTTTTTATCCAATCTGCCAGTCTGTCTTTTGATTGCTGAGTTTTGGAAATTAACATTCAGGGTTACTATTGAGACATGATTGGTATTCCCAGTTATTTTTGTCTATTTTTTGCATTTATCTTGACTTGGTTTCTCTTTGGTAGGTTTTTCCTTTAGTGTAATACCTACCTCTTCTGACTTTCATTGTTGTTTTTCATTTTCTCATGGAATATTTTGCCAAGGATGTTCTGTAGTGCAGGCTTTCTAGTTGTAATTTTTTTTTTATATATTATGGAAGGTTTTTATTTTGTCTTAAAGATAACATCAAAATCAAAATATAATTATTAATCAAAATTTAGTTTTGCTGGATGATTCTTGGATGCCATCCATTTCTTTCAGAGCTTGGTATATCTTGTTGCAGGATCTTGTAGGTTTCAAGGTCTCCATTGAGAAACCAGGGATCCTAATTGGTTTCCCTCTATATGTAATCTGGTTCCTTTCTCTTGTAGCTTTTAAAATTCTCTTATTCTCTGTTGGGCATTTTCATTATGATGTGCCTTGGTGTGGATCTGTTGCGATTTTGTACATTCGGCATCCTGTAGGCTTCTCTTATTTGATTTTCCAATTCATTCTTCATGTTGGGAAATTTTTCTGATATTATTTCAGTGAATAGATTGTTCATTCCTTTGGTTTGGACCTCTATGCCTTCCTCTATCCCAATAATTTTTAAATTTGGACTTTTCATATTATCCCATAATTCATGCATCCTCTGCTCATGGTTTCTTACCATCTTCACTATGGTCAACTTTTTTTTTCAAGGTTATATATTTTGCCTTCAATGTCTGAGGTCCTGTCTTCCAAAGTGATCTATTCAGTTGGAGATGCTTCCTATTGAGTTTTTAAATTGTTTTTATTTATTTTTCGGTTGACACAACATCTTTATTTTTATGTTGTGCTGAGGATCAAACCCAGTGCTTTGCACATGCCAGGCAAGCGCGTTACCACTTGAGCCACATCCCCAGCCCTCCTATTGAGTTTTTAAATTGGTTTACTGTTTCCTTCATTTCAAGGATTTGTGTTTGTTCTTTTCAGAATCTCTATCTCCTTATTAAAGGAATCGTTTGCTTTCTGTATTTGCTTATCTCTTTATCAAAATGATCTTTGCTGCCTATATTTGCTCTCTTATATCATCCTTTAATTCACAGAAAATTATGTACCTCCTCCACTCCTTCTGTCATTTCTCCTGCTGTTCTGACCATGGGTTCTAATAATGTAGCATCTTTGTTTGGGGCACATTCTTGCTTGGTTTTTCATGTTGTTCATGCTTCTTCCCTTCCAGCTCTGTGTTTTCAAGGTGTTACAATTTTTACCCTGTAGGCTTATAGTGTCCCCAAGGAGTTCCAATACCTTTCTTTTTTGTAAATTTATTTTTTTAATACATGGCAACAGTGGAATGCATTACAATCCTTATTATACATATAGAGCACAATTTCTCATATCTCTGTATATAAATAATGTTCACGCTAATTTATGCCATTAAACAAGTACTCTTTTTTGCATTACAATTCTTAATACACATATATACCACAATTTTTCATATCTCTATGAAAGGCATGTTGTCACCAAATTCAAATCTTCATACATGTATTTTGTATAATGATGTCTAGCATATTCCACCATCCTTGCTAATCGCCTCCCCACCCCTCTTCCCTATCTAGAATTAATCTAATCCTCCCATGCTCTCCCTTTCTACCCCAATGTGAGTCACCCCCTTATATCAGAGAAAATATTTGGCATTTGTTTTTTTGGGATTGGCTAATGTCACTTAGCATTATCTTTTCCAACGCCATCCATTTACCAGCAAATGCCATGATTTTATTCTTTTTTAGTGCTGAGTAATATTCTACTATATATAAATGCCAGTTTTTTAATCTATCCACTGAAGGATAGCAAGGTTGGCCCAGTTTAACTATTGTGAATTGTGCTGCTATAAACATTGATGTGGCTGTGTCCCTGTAATATGCTGTTTTTAAGTCCTTTGGGTATAGTCCAAGAAAAGAAATAGATGGGTCAAGTGGTGGTTCCATTCCCAGCTTTCCAGGGAATCTCCATACTGCTTTCCAAATTAGCTGCACCAATTTGCAGTCCCACCAGCAGTGTATGAGTGTTCTGTTTCCCCCACATTCTTGCCAACACTTGTTGTTGTGTGTCTCCATAATAGCTGCCATTCTGACTGGAGTGAGATGAATCTTAGAGTAGTTTTGATTTGCATTTCTCTAATTGCTAGAATGATGGGAATTTTTTCATATTTGTTGATTGATTTCATGTTCTCTTCTGAGAAGTGTCTGTTCATGTCCTTGGCCCATTTGTTGACTAGGTTTTTTTTTTTTTTTGTGCTTAGCTTGGTGAGTTCTTTATATACCCTCAAGATTAGTGTTTGATCTGATGTGTGAGGGGTAAAGTTTCACTCCTAGGATGTAGGCTTTCTGTTCACCTCACAAATTATTATTATTATTATTTTGCTGAGGAAAAACTTTTTAGTTTGAATCCATCCCATTTGTTGATTCTTGTGCTATAGGTTTCTTATTAAGGAAGTTGGGGCCTAACCCCACATGATGAAGATTAGAGTCTACTTTTTATTCTGTTAGCTGCATAGTCTCTGCTTTAATTCCTAGGTCCTTGATCCACTTTGAGTTTTGTGCATCTGAGTTTTATCTTATATTGTCTAATATAAGATAATTGTAGTTTTGTGGGTCAGTCTGTTTCCTCTATTCTGTACCATTGGTCTACCCTCCTGTTTTGGTTCCAGTACCATGCTGTGTTTTTTTTTTTTTTTTTACTATTGCTCTGTGTTATAGTTTAGGGTCTGGTATAGTGATGCCACCTGTTCTGCTCTTCCTGCTTAGAATTACTTTAGCTATTCTGGGTCTCTTATTTTTCCAGATGAATTTCATGATTGCTTTTTCTATTTCTATGAGCAATGTCATTGGGGTTTTTATTGGAATTACACTGAACCTGTATAGTTATTTTGTTAGTATGGTAATTTGGATAATTTTAATTCTGCTTCTCCAGGAGCAAGGTACATCTTTTCATCTTCTAAGGTCTTCTTTGATTTCTTGCTTTAGGGTTCTGTAGTTCTCATTGTATAGATCTTTCACCTCTTTTGTTAAGTTGATTCCCAAGTACTTTATCTATTTATCTATTTTTTTGAGGATCTTGTGAATGGGTAGTTTTCCTCATTTCCTTCTCAGAGGACTTGTCAGTGATATACAGAAATGCCTTTGATTTATGTGTGTTTATTTTATATCCTGCTACTTTGCTGAATTCATTTACTAGTTCTAGAAGTTTTCTGGTGTAGTTTTTTTGGGTCTTCTAGGGATAGAATCCAATTGTCAACCAATAGTGCTAGTTTAAGTTCTTCTTTTCCTATACTTTTCCTTTAATTTCTTTCATCTAATTGCTTTGGCCAGTGTCTCAAGAACTATATTGAATAGAAGTGGTGAGAGAGGGCATCCCTGTCTTGTTCAATATTTAGAGGGAATGCCTTCAGTTTTTCTCGATTGAGAATGATGTCGGCCTGAGGCTTAGTGTAGTGTAGACAGCCTTTAGAATGTTGAGAGATGTCCTTTATCCCTATTTTTTCTAGTGTTTTGAACATGAAGGGGTGCTGTATTTTGTCAAATGCTTTTCTGCATCTATTGGGATGATCATATGGTTCTTTAAGTCTATTGGTGTGATGAATTACATTTATTGATTTCTGTATTTTGAACCAACCTTGCATCCTGGGGATGAATCCCACTTGATCATGGTGCACGATATTTTTGATATCTTTTTGTATTTGATTTGCCAGAATTTTATTGAGGATTTTTGCATTTATATTCATTAGAGAGATTGGTCTGAAGTTTTCTTTCTTTGAAGTGTCTTTGCCTGGTTTTGGGATCAGGGTGATATTGGCCTCGTAGAATGAATTTGGAAGTACTCCCTCTTTTTCTATTGCCAGAAATAGGCTGAAGAGTATTGGTATTACTTCTTTAAAGGTCTAGTAAAACTTGGCTGCATATCCATCCAGTACTTGGCTTTTCTTGGTTGGGAATCTTCTGATGGCTTCTTCTATTTCCTCACTTGATATTGGTCTGTTTAAGTTGTGTTATATCTTCCTGACTCAATCTGGGCGGATCACATGACTTAAGGAATTTATTGATGCCTTCACTAACTTCTATTCTATCAGAGTATAAGCTATTCGAGTATACGGTTTCAAAATAATTTCTAATTATCCTTTGTATTTCTGTAGTGTCTGCTGTGATATTGCCTTTTTTATGACTTCTGGTAATTTGATTTCTCTGTCTCTTTGTTAGCATGGCTAAGGGTCTGTCAATTTTATTTTTTTTCAAAGAACCAACTTTTAGTTTTGTAAATTTTTTCAATTGTTTCTTTTGTTTCAATTTCATTGGTTTCAGCTGATTTTTTTTTCTTGTTTTCCTGCTGATTTTTTTTTTCTTTTTCTAGGGCTTTGAGATGTAATGAGGTCATTTATTTGTTGGCTCTTTCTATTAAGTTCTTTCTATTAAGGAATGAACTCCATGCAATGGATTTTCCTCTTAGTGCTGCTGTCATAGTGTCCCAGAGATTTCGATATGTTGTGTCTGTATTTTCATTTATAAGAATTTTTTAATCTCCTCCTTGATGTCTTCTGTAACCCATTGTTCATTCTGTAGCATTTTCGTCCTTATTGATTTCCAATTTCATTCCATTATGATATGATAAAATGCATGGTAGTATCTCTACTTCTTTGTATTTGCTAAGAGTTGCCCTGTGGCATAATATATGGTCTATTTTTGAGAAGAATCCATGTGCTACTGAGAAGAAAGTTTATCCACTTGATATTGGTTGATATAGTCTATAGATGTCAATTAAGTCTAAGTTATTGATTGTGTTATTGAGTTCTATAGTTTCTTTATTCAACTTTTGTTTGGAAGATCTGTCCAGTGGTGAGAGGTGTGTGAAAGTCACCCAAGATCATGTTGTGGTCAGTTTGACTCTTGAACTTGAGAAGAGTTTGTTTGAACATAGGTGCACCATTGTTTGGGGCATATATATTTGATTGTTATGTCTTGTTGGTGATGGTTCCCTTGAGCAGTATGTAATGTTCTTCTTTATCTCTTTTGATTAACTTTGACTTGAGTCTACTTTATTTGATATTAGTATGGAGACCTGCTTGCTTTCAAGATTCATGTAAGTGGAATGTTTTTCCCAACCTTTCACCTTTAGTCTGTCTTTTCCTATCAAATGAGTCTCCTGGAGGCAGCATATTGTTGGATTTTTTTTTTAATCCAGGCTGCTAGCCTATGTCTTTTGATTGGTGTGGTTAAGCCACTAACATTTAGGGTTGCTATTGAGACAGTTTGTATTTACAGCCATCTTTGTTTATTTTTGCTAGTTGAAGTGTTAATTATTGTTTAATTTTTAATTTGTACCTACATATAGGATCCAGCATTTTAATTGAACATGTGTATTGATCAAATCGGTGCAATTTCTACCTTCTAAAATATCATTTGGTTGTTTGAAACCTGCAAAATCTTGTTAGAATGTCCAGAGTCTAATAATTACTTATACAATTCAAACTATGGGCTATAAAACCCTCTTAACTGCTTTTCGGCACTCCTTGCCAACTGTCTCTTCTAACAGATACAAAAAGCTTTTCTCTTTTGTGGTTCTTTGTGATCAACTTTTTTAGCCTCAACATATGAGTGTAAACATACAGGATTTGTAAAATATGAAAAATCACTAGAAAAAGACAATCTCCCATGGTAAGTCCAGAAAAAAATATAAATTTAAAAATTGTAAAATATAATCCCAGTGCCTTGGGAGGCTAAGACAGGAGGATGGTGAGTTCAAATCCAGCAATAGCAAGGCCCTGAGCAACTTGGTGAGATGCTGTCTCTAAATAAAATATAAAATAGGAGTGGGGATGTGGCTCACTGGTTGAGTGCCCCTGAGTTTAATCCTTGGTACCCCCCAAAATATTTTAGGGTTCACATTTAATCACTAGGCCTTAGGTCTTTTTTGGTGAGATCTATATATAAATGGCATATGCCAATTCTTATTTGTATAATATTTGACTTATGTAAAATATTTTTTATAGTATAAGCTTAAATAGATCTATATTAGCATGTAAAAATAACTTAAAATTGTTTTAGGTGAGGCTGAATGCCTGCAATCCCATTGGCTCAGGAGTCAGAGGATTGGAATGCCAAAGCTCAGTAACTTAGCAAGATTTTCCTCCAATATAAAAAGTGGCTGGTGAGATAGTTTAATGACTAAGTGCCCTGGGTTCAATCTGTGGTATACAAAGGAAAGAAACAGGGTTTTAAAATTGCCTTGTCTCAACACCAACAAAATGAAAAACTGTATTTAAAATGAAAAACTGCATTGTATCACTTTTCTGTGACACACAGAATCTGCTTTAATTTGTTTTAAACATTTGAATCCTACACAATCCAAGTTTTCTAACACTCATTAAATGACATGTTTTAATCACGTGCATCTCAAGGCCATTGGATGAATTTAAGGTGTGACTGAGGAATCTGCAGTCATACCTACAGGAGTGTGCAGGTGCCATGAATTTGCAGTAATAGTCAAGAACTCATGGATGGATTGTTCATTGCCTTGAAACTGTTGGAAAATTGTTTTCTGATGGTAAATTTCAATAACTGTATCAGGAAAAATTTAGACCCTTTCCTGATAGTATGCTTCAAAGAAAGGGACACAATTTCATGCAATAATGAAGAGAACTAATCTTCATACAGGTAGTTCCAGGAGAAAGCAGTCTGCAGGATGACCAATCTCCAGTTTTGAACTACAATCATATCACTAAATAATGACCATCAAGTATATGATTAAAATTGTGTACATATATCATGTAAATAATGAGGAGAACTAATCTTCATACAGGTAGTGCCAGAAGAAAGCCCAGTCTGGTGATTCTACTAGCTCCAGTTTTGAACCACAATCATCACTAAATGATGTGCATCAAGTATGATTAAAATTGTGTAAATATATCATGGTAGTGTTGTGAAGAGATATCTATAGTAATGTGCCTGCTGAGTTTCATTGTTAAGAAGCATCCTGGAGAATGGGAATGATTCATAGATGACTGAAATCCTGAGCTATGTACCTTCCCAGCTGTGCACATTATGCCTGGCACAACATAGTCCAGGAGATCATGAGACATAACACAAGCTCTCTGATATCAGGGAGGTAATCTGAGAAACACCCCTCAAACAAGGGTCTATGGAGTGATGCTTCCAGCTTGGTCCAGGAATGCCCTATCGTACTGGGCACTCATGTCCTTTATGCACTGGAGAAATCAAGCTGCCTCCCAGCTTGATTGGGCATTCTGTGTGGAAGGATGTGTAAATCACAGGGAATCAAACAGATTTCCGACATTGATTACATTTGAAGAATTCACATATGGTAAGAGGAAGAAAAGGCCAAGTGAGGAGATGAGAAAAAACAGATCACACATGAAAAAGAAATTTTCAAAAAAAAAATCAGAAGTTTTGTTTGTTAGAGCTGATAGTAAAGACTCCCTCTAGTATCTGGATCCAGGAAGGAGTCATGTTAGATATGGTGCTGTCACTAAAGTCAGGGGAGGCTGTGTGATACATGCACCATCATCTGTGTTGCAACCATCTAGTGAGGACTGCTCAGGCAGTGGACACGAGCTGGTGGTCAGGACAGATGTAGAGAGAATTACAGGAGAAGGACACCCTGCTGCATGTTAGGGTTATTTGGATCCTCTGGGTGGGCACATTCTAGGGTGAAAGTGAGAGGAAGAAACATCTCTTCTCCCGTATGCACTGTGAGCACCATCCTGCTCATAGGGGTGACAGATCCTATTTCCTCAACCCTTATCAACTCAAGTGCACACTTACAGCTTGCGGTTGTCCTCATCACAGAGCTCAGCTTCACCACTACTGCCAACCCTCCCCATGTCCCCTTGGTATTCGGTAACATAAAAACAGACAAAAGGGAGATGGAGAATTGAGACTGGACTTGCTTCAAGCAAGTAGGATTGGGACTGATGTCAGCCTCGGCAGAAACCTCTGACCTGTGGCTCTTTGTGTGCTGGGAATCTATGAAGAGCACTAGGAAGAAATGACTGCCACCTCAGAGAGGGCAACACCATCACCCAGCACCTCTGCTTCAACACACACCCTCCAGTAACATGATGAGCAAACCCTAGGCAAGACATGACTGAATGAATGGCAGCTCTTTGTGAGAAGTAGAGGTGAGATCCGTGGGTTGCTTTTGTAAATTGTCAGGGTTTGAAAATACAGCTCAGGGTTCACACTTACATCTATGGTATTTATATTACTATTATTTTAAATATGTCCTGAGAAAGGCCACTAGAAGAGAAATTGTTCTTTAAAGTCAAGAAAGAAAGCCTCAGAAGTGCTTCTCTGTGGGGACGAGTGCATGGAGTACTGCATACAGGGCATAGGTTAAGGGTGTCTGCATGGCAGGCCACTCCCCATGCTAGGCGTGTGAGTGGCAAACTGCTTACCCCATCGGCACAGCTCTGGGCACGAGGCCATGTGTTGCAGTCCCACTCCTTGATTGTTCACTGCAAGGACTGTTAGCAGACATTGCATTGGTGGTTGCCTATATTTTGCTTAGGCACTGCCTGAGTACATATACATGGTAACTGCACAATAAAATCAGACCTGCTTCCTGCTTGGTGTCTGGAGGTCTTGATTAGAGACTCCACAGCCACACTCTCCTCTACTCTGTTCTGTGGACCTCCTCAGGGTACGAGAGAGCCCATGCACTTCTCTACAGACCCCAAGCTCTCATTAGGGGGAAACCAAAATGTTCCTACAGGAGGGTCTGTTTTCCTGACTGATATTGCGATGGAAGATGTTCCAGTTGTAGAAATAAGAAGATAGTTCTTAATCACCACCATTATCAACATGTGAAGGGTTAGTACAGGCATGATAATGAATCAAACATTTGTTCTTTCTAGAGGTAACTGGAAATTTGGACTAAATGGAAATATATAAAATGAAAACTAATATCCACAGACAGAAATTCCACATGGATGGGCTGAAGGATGTTGTAAAACTGAAGACAAAAGTCACAATAATTGCCAAAGCATGAGAACTCCAAAACCACATGAGAGGGAAACATAAAATAGGAAGAGTGCAAGTCGTTGAACAAGTATTTCAGTATACACACAGTTAGGCAAGACACATCAAGGGCGGAGGAAAAGTATCCCCTCAGGCAGCCCCTATCCTGGACCAGCCACATGAAAGTTTTGAGCCTCTGACATGGGCTCTGCCTTAATCCATGGCATGGCCCAATGATCATCAAGGTGCCACCTGAAATACTGTCCCTCATATACACTCGCCTCCTGGGAGGCTTCTGGAATGAGCATGGCAGAGGGTTGGTGAATACTCCTAACTTTGTGGAGCCAAGAAGAGCTCTCTTTGGAGAGGAGGAGAATTGCAGACCACACCTTTATTGTAATGTGGACCCCTAACTAGGCGCTGTTGAATCCAATCTCTTTGTGTAAGTTGCCCTGATTTTTAATAAAGAGGAAAATAATTTCATCTCTAATTGTGAGGATTAGGCCACAATACACTGAACAAGTGGGTTCCAATCAGTTAAGGAAGGCTCTCTTAGGAGCTAGGCATGGTGGCACATGCCTGTAATCTCAGCAGCTTGGAAGGCTGAGGAAGGAGGATGATGAGTTCAGAGCCAGCCTCAGTGAAAGAGATTTACTAAGCAGCTCAGTGAGATCCTATCTCTACATAAAATAGGGCGAGGGATGTGGCTCAGTGGTTGAGTGTCCCTGAGTTCAAACTTCATTGTCCCCCATAAAAAAAAAAAAGAATGGGGAGTGTTTCGGGCTTTGGATTTATAACAGCTTTCACGGAGGTTCTAAAATGTAGAACTAATATAGAGTAAGTGTTCTGGGCCAAGCTCTGGAGTGGATGTGCATGCATTTGAAATCAGACTTTTATATATTTTTATATATATAATAGATTTGATGTTGATCTACTGATGGAATATTTCCTACACAAGGCATGTATGTGCTTTAATTAAAGAGTCTGAAATTGTAGCTTCAGATTGTTTGAAATATATATCTACTTATTGAAAAATAACAGTCATCAGAAAATCATGCATGTCAAGCTAGATCATTTCATGACCCTTTAGAACATGTAGATCTATAAGGCAAGATAGTAAGAGAAACAATAAAAGTGAAACATTCAAGAAATTGGGATGCCATTTAAAAATCTGAGGTAAATATTAAGCCATAATCTGACATCCATAACAGGACCCCTACAGCACAAGAATTAAAAATCAAGAATCAATAAATGGGATAGATTCAACCTAAAAAGCTGCTTCTCGGCAAAAGAAACAATAATGTGAAGAGAGAACCTACAGATTTGTGTAAAATCTATACCACATATACCTCAGATAAAGCATTAATCTCTAAAGAACTCAAAACTTAATTGGTTTTTTGTTGTTGTTTGAATTAACAAATGGGCTAAGTAACTGAACAGACACTTCTCAGGAAGAAATATAATCCATTAACAAGTACATGAAAAAATGTTCAACACATCTAGCAATTAGGAAAATGTAAATCAAAATTACTTTAATTTTTTATCTCACTTTAGTCAGAATGGCAAAGATTAATACAGGCAACAATAAATGTTGGTGAGGATGTGGGGGAAAAGGAACACTCACACATTACTCATGGGACTGACTGCAAATTTGTGCAACCACCATGGAAAGCAGTATGGAGACTCCTTGCAAAACCAGAATGGAACCACCATTTGTCCCAGCTATCCCTGTCCTCGGACTATACCCAAAGGACTTAAAAACAGCATACAACAGGGACACAGCCACACCAAGGTTTATAGCAGCACAATTCACAACAGCTAAACCCTAGAACCAACCTAGGTTTCCTTCAACAGATGAATGGATAACAAAATGTGATTATATATATTCCCCCCACCAAGGGAATATTATTTAACCTTAAAGATGAATGAAACTATGGCATTTGGTGGTAAATGGATGGAGTTGGAGAATATCATGCTAAGTGAAATAAGCCAACACACACGCCAAATGTTTTCTCTGATAAGTGGATGCTAACTCACAATGAGGGGTGGGGAAGAATAGTTACTATAGAATAAGTAGAGAGGAGTGCAGGGAGGGGAGGGGATATGGGGATAGGAAGGATAGTAGAATGAAACAGACATTACATATAATATAATATATACATATATATGGATGTTAAACCACTCAACAACGGTGGGGGAGAGAATAGAAATTCACTAGATTAGACAAAGTTGGAATGAAGGGAAGAAAAGGGAAATAGAAATGACAGTAGAATGAATCAGAAACAACTTTTCTATGTTTACATACAAACACACCACCAGTGAAGGTTCACACCATGTACAGCTCAAGAATAGAATGCTAACTAAAATAAGTTTTACTCCATGTATGTGTAATATGTCAAAATTTGCTCTACTGTCATGTATACCTAAAAAGAATAAGAAATTTTAAAAATGATGACGGAAAATTTGTATACAGAGAAGTTTTGTGAGTTAAAAACTCTTCAATAAATGCTAATGTCATTAAGGTTAAATAAAAGTACCTTGAGCCCATACAAAATAACAAACATTGGTAAATAGAGTTGCCCAAGTCAGTCTGTGCAACTATCTATTATCACAAAATTTTTGGTTTGCAACTCTTTTCTATTTGTTTTACAAAGCAGCACAAGAACAATACTTACAAGTTTACTAGAAAGAAAACATTACATAGCAGTGTTATGAATACTATTAATAGTTCTGTGTGCACTCAAGAAAGCATTCTCAATTTCCTCCCGCATGCAATAAAAAATCATGCAGTTGAAAGATACACTAGTTACTGATTAGATAACACATACATGTGTTTGTGACATTCAGTATGTGGGCAGCTGCTCAACTTGGCAGGTCAGGTCCAATAGATAAGGACAACACTCTCTTCATACCAGACAGTGTTTCTTTGAGTAATACTTTTGCTTTCTCTTGCTTTCATAGTAACAGACACAGGCAACTGTATTGTCAGACTAGGAAAACCCCAACACTGAACCTATGTACTGGAAAGTCCCAAACAGCTTTTCAGGGTCCTGACTGGGAAGTCCTGGGCAGAGCATCATCTCCACAGGTGAGAGTCTGAATTATTGTTCTAACTTGTATTTAAAGTGGGGCTGAATAAATACAAGTTAGAAACGGCTTGCATCTCCTAGTGATCTCCTGAAGAACACTGTCAATAACAGGTAAGATCCCAAGGAGGGAGTGATAGCCTTGAGATGACCAAATAAATTGGGGTTCCAATGATTGAGCCACAGAGCCAGATGTATTGAGAAATCAGCAATATTTACCTGTTTCATAAAGGATATGCAGACTCATACAGGCACATGCAAAGGGAAGATCTTTAGTATTTTCCTTAGACCTCTAGTACTGAATCTTCCCTCTGGGCCTAATAATAGTTAACTCTCACATGTAAAATGAAGCCAGTTCTGTGTAAAATAACATGGCGTGGAGATAAGCATGAAACCTAGAGAGTTACCTCTTGGAATAAAGAATGGTGTGAATATTATTCTCCTAGAATTTATCATTTCAATATTTAATTTTTCCACATAAAGTTAAATGAAATGTTTTTGGATGGTGTTTTCTTGACCCAAAGACATGCAGAGAATATTGTGTTTTTACTTTTTGAACAGGACTTGTTTATTTCAATCAAAATTGTATTTCTCTCTCTGTGGTGTCATGGGCTCCTGGAGCTGTAAGATCTGAAGAGGGACAGGGTTAGTTTATAGTATCTTATAATTACTGGGTTGTAGAGGGGTCTGGGAGACCATGACACATGCTATCTATCGTATAATCCAATAAGTATAACAAACATTACATTGTAAGTAAGTAGAACGAAAACGGTCTACAAAAATCAAAATATATAATGAAATGAAAAATGTGGGGGCATAAATGCTCCTATAGTATGTCTTTTTATTTTTACAGTCATCATTTTACATGTATCTGGTTACACTTTTCTACTGGGTATCCAAGACTAAAGAGGTGGTCCTATATTGTGATGTATTTCCAACATTTGAGGTCAGTACAGTCTCCTCAGTGATGACTCTCATAGAATTCATGAGCAACTGCAAGGTTTCTTCAGTCCAAAAATCAGGATGGGCCTTTGGACCAGGATTTTCCCCAGGAAACAATGAGACTATTTCCCCCTTCTGTAACCCTCCTTTTTCTACCTGAATATGCACATTGGCTTCTACTCTCTTGGGTCTTTCTCATCTCCCTGATTGGGAGCTTGTATAACTCTTCAGTTTTGTAGATCCCTTAGGGAGTACTGCAACTCTACAAGGTGAAATGTTAAAGTTGTAATTCAAACTAGGGATATCTGGGCATTGTTTTAGTATTCCTAGGTCCTTCCTGTACCTTAATTTTTGCATAATTAGAAACAGAGTATATAATTACATAAATATTCCCCAAATAAAAGTTGATTAAACATATGAAATAATCCATGGAGACGATATAGAATTATTTACCCAATAGAATGTTTTGCTATATTTGATCCATTAGCAAAGTGAATATTGGGGGGTATGTGACCTAATAATGTCATTAAATGCATGACAAGGTTAACATTAAGAAAATCACTTTATTTAGTAACATATTTGCCTTACGGATGCAATTTAAGTAAAAATGCTCTGTAAAACGGGCATGGTGGTCCATGCCTGTGACCCTAGGGACGTGAGAAGCTTTGAAAGTTAAAAGCCAGGCTCCATACCTTGGTGAGGCCCTAAACAACTTAGCAAACCCTATCTCTAAATAAAAATGAAAAAAAATTTGTGGATGCAGTTTACTGATTAAGTGTCCCTAAGTTTAAGTACAAAAATAAAAACTAAAAATTTAAAATTTCATATAAACATTGAGACTTCTGTAATAATCAACATTGAGAATTGTTTTCTCCAGCTGTGAAAAATGAGACTCTTTAGTAATTGTTGATTTATAGTAAAATTATATCCTTTTAGGGATGCACTATTCTGTATTTGTATTTCCTTATTTCTACACTATCAGCTAAAGAGGTTAAGAAAATTTTCAGCAAATGTCAAAAGCAATTACCCATTTTCTACATTTAAATGATTTTTTCCCCCCTAGGTCCCAAATACTTCAAGGGATGGGCTATAGCTAAGAAATTTACTACAAATTTTTATACTTGTCAAAGTGTTTTTGTAAATATTTTGCTGTTATCTAAGGTACATACTTTGGACAAATGGTATTCCACATTTTCTCCAGGTATGAGGTAAGAAACTGAAAAATGTCTGAAATTTGAATACAGTCATGTACACATTCTTTGGGTTTCTATATGGTATAAATCCTCCAGTGTTGCAAAAAATTTTTCCACATGTCCTCTTACTTGTATGAATTCTGAGGTGTTGAGTAGGGTGTGAACAACTGTTGGAGACTCTGACACCTATTTTACACTTGTATAATTTCTGTGCTATCATCTCTCTGGTGTGAAATAGTGTTGAACTACTGTGAAATAAGGGTTGATTCATCGTTAAAGACACTGATGCAATGTTTTCCTTGTAAAACTTCTCTCCAGTATAAATTCTATAATGTTACTAAGATGTGATCTTCAATTTTAAAAGCTTTGCCATTCTTCACATTTATAGGACTTCTCTCTAGGATGGGTTTTCTGGTGTTGAGTAAGTGATGATTTTTGATAAAAATCCCTGCCACATTCTTCACATTTGTACGGCTTCTCACCAGTATGAATCCTCTTGTGGCAACTAAGACGTGAGATGGTATTAAAAGCTTTGCCACACTCTTCACATTTGTAGGGCTTCTCTCCAGTGTGGATTCGCTGGTGCTGATTAAGTGATGATGATTGATTAAAACGCTTGTCACACACTTTACATTTGTAGGGCTTCTCTCCAGTATGAATCCTCTTGTGGCAACTAAGATGTGAGATGGTATTAAAAGCTTTGCCACACTCTTCACATTTGTAGGGCTTCTCTCCAGTGTGGATTCGCTGGTGCCGAGTAAGTGATGTTTTTTGACTAAAAGTTTTGCCACACTCTTCACATTTGTAGGGCTTCTCTCCAGTATGAATCCTCTTGTGGCAACTAAGTTGTGAAAATTTATTAAAAGCTTTGCCACATTCTCTACATTTGTAGGGCTTCTCTCCAGTGTGGATTCGCTGGTGCTGAGTAAGTGGTGTTTTTTGACTAAAAGTTTTGCCACACTCTTCACATTTGTAGGGCTTCTCTCCAGTGTGGATTCGCTGGTGCTGAGTAAGTGATGTTTTTTGACTAAAAGTTTTGCCACACTCTTCACATTTGTAGGGCTTCTCTCCAGTATGAATCCTCTTGTGGCAACTAAGTTTTGAAAATTTATTAAAAGCTTTGCCACATTCTCTACATTTGTAAGGCTTCTCTCCAGTATGAATCCTTTTGTGATAATTATGCTGTGAGGCACTATTAAAAGCTTTGCCACACTCTTCACATTTGTAGGGCTTCTCTCCAGTGTGGATTCGCTGATGCTGAGTAAGTGATGATATGTGATTAAAACTCTTGTCACACACTTTACATTTGTAGGGCTTCTCTCCAGTATGAATCCTCTTGTGGTTATTAAGATGTGAGTTTGTTTTAAAACTTTTGCCACACTCTTCACATTTGTAGGGCTTTTCTCCAGTATGAATCCTCTTGTGATAATTATGGTGTGAGATGCTATTAAAAGCTCTGCCACATTCTGTACATTTGTAAGGCTTCTCTCCAGTATGAATCCTTTTGTGATAATTATGGTGTGAGATGCTATTAAAAGCTTTGCCACATACTTTACAGCTGTAGGGCTTCTCTCCAGTGTGAATTCGCTGGTGCCGAGTACGTGATGATATGCGATTAAAACTCTTGCCACACATTTTACATTTGTAGGGCTTCTCTCCAGTATGAATCCTGTTGTGGCAATAGAGATATAAGATGCTATTAAAAGCTTTGCCACACTCTTTACACTTGTAGGGCTTCTCTCCAGTGTGGATTCGCTGGTGATGAGCAAGTGATGATTTTTGACTGAAACTTTTGCCACACTCTTTACACTTGTAGGGCTTCTCTCCAGTATGAATCCTGTTGTGGCGATCAAGATGTGAGTTTGCGTTAAAACTTTTGCCACACACTTTACATTTGTAGGGTTTCTCTCCAATATGAATTCTCTGGTGATTTTTAAGGCTTGGTTTTTGACTGAAAGCTTTGCAAAATTGTTTACATATGTGGGGCATCTCTCCAGTGTATGTCCACTGGTAACAAATAAGATTGGAGCTTTTATTTGAAGTTTTTTCACATTCTTTACATGGCATATCTCCTGTATGAACACTGTGATGTTGAATGAAGTTCTTCAGTATGTTGCATTCTTCACATTGGCAGGTCTTCGCTGCAGAATAAATTTTTTGGTGTTGAGTAAAAGTTGAACAATCTTTTAAGGCTTTGCTATACTTTTTACATTTACATGTCTTCAGTATAAATCCCCTGAAGTTTAACCAGTTGTAACCTTTCACTAAAGGTTTTTCTGCTTTCTTTTAAATTTGTAGGTTTTATCACTGTCAAAGTATCTGCTGTGTTTAAAGAATATATGAAAGTATCGGCTTGCTCAACATCTTCTAAACTTATAGGGCTCGCCTTCTCTATAAATTCTCTTGTATTGAGCAAGCTCTGCACTGTCATTAAGAGCCCTTTCACATACCTTACACTTGCACATTTTGTCTTGACTATGAATATTTGGATGAGTAATAGCTTCTGAGCACTGAAGCAAGACTTTCCCACATTTTTCATTTTGGTAAATTTCCTTTAGAAAATGACTAGGAGTTTCTCTATATTTGTAATTTTTATCAGCAATGTAAATATCCTGGTAATTACTCAGGGTGGAGACATGGCTAATGGTGTTACTTTATAGCGCACTTTCCAGAAATCTGTATCAGAATTGTCATTGAGCAATAGAGGGGAAGTAGGAACCTTTCTACAATTCTTAATATTGTCTACTTGGGCACAAGGAGAAATAACTGTTTTGTTGCAGGAAAAGGGACATTTTGTAAAGAAACTCTCCAAAGTATAACTTAAGAAATTTGTCTTAAATATCTTCTCTGTGCGAATGTTTGACTGGAAGTTTAATTTAGTGCTACATTAATAATTGGCCAAGTTAAAAACTGATGCATGGACCAGATTTCTTTTCAAATTTTCCACATTTACTTTCAGAGGAAATATAGTCTTTAAAATGGCTGTGGTATATTCTTAAAGACATATAAAGCTCCTCAAAAGTAAGTGGAATAAATTGATTTTTTTTTTTCAGATATTAATTGTTCCTGGTGTCTTTTGACCATAAAATTTTTATCATAAATAGGAACTAGTAATTAGGTTTGTCCATTATAATATGATTTTTTAAACTTTACTCTCACCTATATTTTCCCATTGTTTTCTTAGTTGTAAATAGTGAAGGTCACTCTTTCCATATCTTCCCTCTCTCTCTTTTATTCCCTGCTCTGGTAAAATTTCTTGAGGATGATGAGAAGTCATGGCTGAAATAAATAGAAATAAACATCTTGTTTACTTACTGTACGGGGCTGAGCATATTTTGCAAACATAGGAAATTACAGCAATAAAGGAACATTAGCAGGGGAGTGGATTATTAAATCCAAGTCCATCGTTAGTGCAGAAATATATAAATCAAATAAAAATGTACTCAGGAAATTACTTTGAGAACTTTGCAAACCATCTTAATGTTCACAGTATCCAAGATGAGTACATTCCTATGTAGAGTAATATAGTAGTGGAAGATAAATTGTGTTTCACAGTCTTTCCTCCTTCACAATATATTTTAAAAATCTACCAACTTTCTTCTGTTTCATTAAAAAAAGAAAAATATGAAACATGCAAATATTTGGGGGCTGTTCAAAAAGGGATTCCTGCTTACCAACAGAAAAAGTTGATTTAGCCCTGTTTTTTTTTTTTTTAAGAAAAGTTATGAATTACTCAAAGGGAATAGTAAATTATCATTTAAAAGAAGTTTACTGAACTAAACCAACACACACAAAAATAAAGTTTAGTCAAGAATTGTTAATAGTAATAAGCAGAAAATGTGTGTTTAAAGTCTTTCTTTAGAAAATGTCTGAAAGAGTCAGGGGTGGTTGTACACAGCAACATAGGAGGTTGAGCCAGAGGATCCAAATTTCAAGGCCATTCAAAGTAAAAAATGCAAAGTGCTAAATCACCCTTAAGTTCTCTTTCTAGTACTAGTAAACACACTGCAGAAAACAAGAAAAATAAAACATCCAAGTAGCTCAATTATCTCCAAGTTGCAGGTTTTAATCCAAGTTTTAAAACTCAGACTATTGAGAGCATCCAAGAGAAAAAGACGGGTCACCTAGAAATGTGTAACTATATAATTGTGAAATCCTTAGTTGAAACTTCACAACACACAAAGGAATTCAGGGCTATTTTCTAGGGATGAAAGAATAAAATTTTCAACCAAGACATAATATTCACAGCTACTATCTTTCAAAAGAGAAGGAAAATGAAGACTTTAAATACATAAAAATGCACACACTACTCATCAACACTAGATCTGTTCTCCACAAAGTACAAAAGGTAATCCTTCATACTAAAATGTAAGTGTGTACAGCATCATAAGTCATATGAAATTCTAAACATTTCTTGGCACAAACAATTCTATTGTATTGTAATGATGGGTCTCAAAACATGTAATTTTGCAATAGAATTTGAAAGACAAAAGCATAAAAAGAAAACTGTTGATAGGCATATATACCTGTAACAATAATATAATTTTGAAAGGACACATAAATATATTCAGTTTGTAAATAAAGTGAAGTCAAGTTGGTACTCAAAGAAAGTATGAGTAGGAGATTCTTCATTTTTAGGGTTTTTTTGTTGGCAAATGGAAGATTACAAAATTCTGATCAAAACAAACCTTGGCTATCTGAATTAATTCTAAAAATTACAACTGTAGGTGTATTCCACAGGATACTCTAAGTCTAAGGACACACACATGCTGAAAGCAAAGGGATATAAGAATGACACATACAAAAGTGACTGAAGAAAACCTAGGCTGTCTAAATTATAGTACACAAAACATAGTTTAAGACAGTTACAGGACATAGAAGATGTTTTAAATTTTAAAAAACCTTTAAGAGGCAAAATAGAGAAAAGGAACCTTTCCCTAGGCTCTGAATTAAGAGTAAATACATTCACAATGAACATCCTACTTCCCGCACACACAGAAAGAAAACATTGAGAGAGTTGAATGAAAACCAAGAATCACTGTCATCCTAGGAGACATCAATCCCCACTTATTGAAAAGGGAAATGCAGTGAAGCAAAATGGTAATTGCAAAGCATAAGACTTTGAAAATATTTTGAAACTATTGTAGACTAATAGAATCCCTGTTCTTAATCACAAATGGGATATTATGCTGGATAGACAAATATTAATTAACCTTTGTTTTAATACATAAAATTTAAGTGATAGTTATTTTGTAACCAACATGGAATAAAAATTTGAAGTCAATAGGAATGTTCAAAAATCCCTAAATATGTGTCAGTTGATTGAACACTCTTGGGCATGCTGTTGTTAAAGAATTGAAAGATAACTTTAAGTAGTATAAACATCTTTTAATTTTATCTAGAGGCTCCAGGTAATATTCATCAAACTCCCGTTGTTAAATTTTCTTTCACAGAGAGAAAAATTAAATTGTATGAATATCCCCCAAAATGCAAATAAAATTAGTATTTTTTTTTAGCAGGAAAATATTCTTCTAAGAGTTACAGCATTCAATTGTAAATGCAGACATGGAGTCAGGTAGACAGACTTCTGAGTGTGGTAATAAGCCCTGACATCAATAGCAAATTAAAAACATTGAACACCAGTGTTGCACAATGTTATTCAACAGAGCCATCATGGGGGATGCAAACCAGTTATCCCTTGAAAAGAACAGATGAGCCAATTTACCATATTAAACTATAGAACTTTGAAGTGAAAGAATTTATTCTAACTATATATCTTACAAAATGTATGTACACCTGGTTAACTGAAATATGTCACAGAAAGAATACTGCAGAATTATATGAATATAACATCTCTAAACTAAAAAAGCAGCTTTCTGAAAAAAAGAGAATGGTTTTGTGATGGGGAGACAGAAATGAGCCCTTGCTTCCTAGGAAATGATTTTTTTTGAGATGTAAACTTTTTAGAGATACATTGCATAACAATTTGAATTAATGTTACCGAATATTTAAAATTTTGGAGACAGTAAGTTTTATTGTGTGGTTTTGGTTACAATGAAAGTTAAGATAAAGAGAACTGCAACATTTCTCAAAGCTACATTTAAAATAATGTGGTCTTTATGCTATAAATAAGAACAAACTCATCCACATACAAATGATGGGTATGCATGTAATCTCAGCTACTAGGAAGTCTGAGGCAGGAGAATTGCAAATTCAAGACATCCTCAATAACTTAGTGAGAACCTCTCTCCAACAATGAGTGAAAAGGAGCTTGGGGTGTAGTTCAGCATTAGAGTATCACTGCCATTAATCCCCATTACATTTACATATAGGAAACTTCAATTTGCATGTACATGGGCAGAATGAAAAGCCAATCAAGATAAAATACAAAAGTCAGACAAAAGAGGCTTAATATTTATACAAGCAGAAGCACATATAACATGATTGGCAATACAAACAAGAATCATGCATATCAGAGGGGAAGGAAGATGGCGGCGAGGGGAGTGCATTACCCCTGTGTGCTGCTTCACTGTGTGGGAGTATGACAAGTCAGGATGGCTAAAGGCTATCTTGTTAGGAATTTCCAGCAATAGTGGGGTGCGCCGGAACCTGGAGGAAGGATTTCCATCGCACGAGGATCGGCTACGGGGACTCAAACGCGAGAGGTTTGTCGCACAGAGGGTAAAACTGCTTATTCAGCAAATCGCCCCGCGGCTAGAGTCTGCAACGCGCGCTGGGATAGAGACACAGGGTTACAGTGCTGCAGTTTCTGCCAGCCGCGCAAGCACCGCACTCAGGGCTGAATTCTGGGTTCGAGACGGGGGAAGGAAGCAGTCCATCTCGGTTCTCCACACCGGTCAGACCACAGAGGAGGCCAGCAGCCACCATGTTGGTAAACTGACGTCACCATACCTGTTTTTGACTGACCGCAGCTCATTCAGCCATAGAACAGGTAATTTCGGGCTACAGTTCGCCTGCGGCTTGCAGACAGATTGCTAGGGTTCAGCGCCTGGGTGCTTCTTAAAATCTGATCTTATCGGAGTGAACACCGAGCGCGGGGCGGCCGAGTTCCGGCTCCCGGAACCGTCCCGGAACCGCCCTGGCTCAGGGCTGTGGAGTCTGCAGAGGCTGCTTCTTGGACCCTGCTACTATCAGAGCAAACACCAAGTACTAAGAAGCCGAATTCCAGCTCCCGGAACTGAGCCCGCGGGGACTGCTTCTTGGAGCTTACACCGAGCACGGAGCGGCCGAGTTCCGGCTCCCGGAACTTCCCTGGACTGGGGCTAGGAGCCCGCGGAAACTGCGTCTCGGTCCGGGTCCTGTGAGGGCCGGTCAGGACTCACCCGTTGCTTGGGTTGCCCAGCAAGGGGAACGAAATGCTGCCATTCGCATAGGATACCAACATGGCAGAGATCTGATGTCAGCAGAAAGCGGTGGAGGAGAGATCTTCATCAATACCAGTGGTGACATAAGCAGTTGGTCTCCTGGTAAGGGGGGTGAGGCTCAGTCACCCGAGTCTCCTCAATTTGTCCTCGAGCCAGAGGGAAGGAGCCGGGCCGCCGCCAGCCCCCGGAGCAGGCCCAGGGGCTCGCCAGCGTGGTGACCGCGTGACCCCAATTGGAGAAGGGGCGGAGCGGAGCCGCCACCCACACCCGCCAGGTGGGCAGACCCACTACCCAGTGGTACATGGGCGTGGTAGGAGGGGCAGGGCAGAGCCGCCCTTCGCGCTTGCAAGGTAAACAGACCTGTGACAGCCTGGCGGGTCAGGCCCAGTGGCCTGCCAGTGTGGTACACACGTCACCCCAACTCGAGTAGGGGCAGAGCAGATCCTTCTCCCATGCCCGGATCAGGCCCTGCCGGTGTGGTGGTCCCGTGACCCCAGTTGGAGTGGGGGCGGAGCGGAACCGCCACCCGTGCCCGCAGGGTGAGCAGACCAGTGATCAACCTGCAGATCAGGCCCAGGGGTCCGCAGGCGTGGTAGGAGGGGCAGGGCAGATCCGCCACCCGCGCCTTCAAGGTAGGCAGACCTACAACAGACCGGCGGATCAGGCCCAGGAGCCTGCCGGCGTGGTACAAACACCACCCTAATTGGAGTAGTGACAGAGCAGAGTCACCTCCCTTGCCAGGAACAGGCCCAGCGTCCTGCAGGCGGGGTAGTCACGACACCCCAATTGGAGTAGGGGCAGAGCAGAGCCTCCACCCGTGCCCGAAAGGTGGGCAGATCTGCGACCGACCAGCAGGACAGGCCCAGTGGCCTGCTGGTACGACAGACACGTCAC